CCACCAGGGATGCCCTTTTTGTATCAGGGAGGGTGGGGATCCAAGATGAGGTAATGCATTCCAGATGTGCATTCCATGACAACAGATAGATCAGCCCTGAATGTGTATCCTCCCCGCCCCCTTCTGCAGCCCCCTCCACCGCGGGTGTTCTCTCTGCTGCAAACCTTTTTCCACCCTTGCCCCCACTCCTTGCCCCCACTGGTGTAGGTGGTGGCCTCCTTAAGCTCTGCACCTGGATGGATGGGACCAGACTCTGGAGATGGAGCAGAGCTGCTGTGTTTATTGCCACGGAAAGCGAGATCTTGTGGGGGGGGGGGCGGGAGGAGGGGAATCAAGTCCACTGATATACCTTTGCTCTCCCTACATCCCCAGGATGTCTTTGCGACCTTGGTTTTTTGTTTCTTGAAGTGATAATGGTGGGGACTTCAAGAAGCAAAGCGAACGATATGCTGTACCCACTTCTCTGACTGTACCATTACCGTCAATGATCGTAGTGACTGCTGAGACCCACTCAGTCTGGTAGTGACGGAGAAGACACGAGTTGATGAGGACGGCGCTACCATACAACAACTGATGCTTCGCCAGTTGTGTGTGTTTGTACAGATAATCGCAGAGGATACGGGAGTGTAAATTTCTGTGCTTTCGAAAATTAGAAACGCAATGTAATGGGACGCTGGACCGCTTTCCAGCAGGTGATGCTCCCCACCAATAGATGGAGACTTCCCAGGCAGATCACACTCAAGGAGGCTGCTCTTATCACCTCCTTGATTGGGACCCTGTACCGAAGTTTACGAACCCCCCCCCCCCTGGAAAAAAAAAGAGGAGTGTTTTTGAGATGGCCATGGCACCGATGACGTGAGGGTGACACCGAGCGCAATGAAATTGGCTGGGAATGGACTGCTGCTGCTGCTGCTGCTGGTGCGGTCAGGCTGGGCCGGCAAGTTGGAACCTGTGTGGAGAGGGAGGTGGTACTATTCTTAAAAAAAAAAGGATATATCTGCATCGAGGGCTAAAGTGACGGGTATGTGAATAACGGACGAAACAGTGAATAACGGAAGAAACATAATACATATGCTGGTGGTAAATGCACAATGGGGGCAAATTTGAAATTTGTCTGTGTCCAGACGGACATGGCGGTTGGCTGAAAGAGGAAGCAGCAGCTCATCATTAGCTGTTTGAATTGGACTAGCTTTGTACTGTGCTTTATTCCACCGTAACGCCCGGTCATTCTCGCTGCATCTGGACTGAAAGTTGTGCCCAATACAGATATAACGACCGGGCGTTCTATTCTGGTGAAGATGCGGTCATTCTCGCTGCATCTGGACTGAAAGTTGTGCCCAATACAGATATAACGACCGGGCGTTCTATTCTGGTGAAGATGGTTGTGCTGGCACTCCTTCTCAGTGATGGGCAGCAGCACTTTATAAGTTTATATATGATATGATGCTGAGGATGATCAGCGCTGGTTAAGATTATAACCTTTTGTTGATGTATATTGCTTATCTGCCAGCCAGCTCCCCCCTTGTCCACCCGGTGGCCGAATCGGTGCGCCGCGCGGGTCCATGTGCATTTGCGTCAGAGCTTCCCCAGAGGGGGCCTAAGACCCCCCTGGGGTACTGGTGCAAGTTGTTCCAACGTTCTGTGGTGTGTTGTCATGTCAACTTATCATCATAAATTCTTAGTGTTTTTTTTTTTTTTTTTTTTTTTT